CGCACGCGGAAGCCCGGCCTTAAGACCTACTCCCTCTAAACCCCGCCCCCTGACCCGATCCGCCCCTTCCGTGCGAACCTATGGACCTATCCCGGCGCATCCTATTTCTCAGACCCACCCCCCTGCGTCATGCGCTCGCGTCTTGAGCCGTAGCTTCTAGCCCTGAGCTTCCGGATATGGCCAAGGCAGCCCCCGAGGCGAGGGAGATGCGGTGCGAACTGGGCGGAGTCGTGGGGGCGGAGCTTAGGGGAAGGTAACAGGTCTCACCTGAGCTCACCAGGTACAGGCCTGATTACCTTTGCCCAAGTCTTTGGGCAAGTTACTTCCCTTTTTGGGTCTACAGCGTTCTAAATGCCTAAAATGTCATAAAATTAGTAACTGTTAGTTACCATTGTTATTGAGCCCTTTGTCAGGTTCAGGTGCTCTTTTAGTACAATCCCTGCAGTTAATCCTCTCAGTGGGATAGAGAAATATTATTCCGCCTTTTCTACGTATGAGGAAAGATCTTGACCATCCGTTTCTGTTGGAGAAATGAAAACACAGAGGCCATAAAGCCAAAGTAATTCTGGCTTCAGATCTAGTGCTTTGAGATTTGCTGAACTACTCTGTCTCCAAAGTCTCAGAAAGAGAGTTAAACCTACAATAAGGGATGGGGGTGTAACTCAGTGATAGAATCCTTGCATAATACGCACCAGGCCCTGGATTCTCCAGGACCCCAAAATAAATAAATAAATAAAGAGTAGTATGAGCAAAGATGAAGGAAGTTGTCTATGTTGTTTTGACTAACACAGTAAAAGGCCCCAATTTACTCAGGGGGGTACCAGGTAGGGGCTTTTAGCTAAACCTGAAAGGAATTCAAATGACAGAAACAGCAAAGCTGAAATGTTATTTCCTTTGTGAAAATCTCTCCAATGCTACTATCAAAAAATAAATTTCAAATAAAATTAAAAGCAAAAAGAAAAGCCAAGTAGCGACTTGGGAGACTGAGGTAGGAGGATCACAAGTTCAAGGCCAACCTCAGCAACTTGGGGAAAACTTGTCTCAAAATAAAAAAATAAGGGCTGGGGTTGTGGCTCAGTGGTAGAGTGCTTGCCTAGCCTGTGTAAGGCACTGGGTTCTATTCTCAGCACTATCAGCAAAATAAAGGTCCATTGACAACTAAAATAATATTTTAAAATAAATAAATAAATAAATAAATAAAAAGGATTGGGATCATGGCTCAGTGATTAAGCATGCCTAGGTTCAATCCCTGGTATGAAAAAAAAAACAAATCTACAAAAAAAGTGAGGAAAATGTATGTAATTGGTTTGGGCCTGTGTGTGTGTGTGTGTGTGTGTGTGTGTGTGTGTTTTTGCATGTGCCTGCAGGCAGTACTCTGTATCAAACCCTGGCATGCTCTACCCCTCTACCGGAGCCATCTGTCCCCATCCCTTTGTTCATTTTTTTTTAATATTCTTTTAGTTGTTGATAGAACTTTATTTTTTATTTATTTATATGTAGTGCTGGGTAGGCAAGTGTGCTACCACTGAGCCATAGCTTCAGCCCCCCCCCTTGTTCATTTTTTAAGACAGGATCTCCCCAAGTTGCTCAGGCTGGCCAGGAACTTGTGACTGGATCAACTTTATTTTATTATTATTTTTTTTAATATTTATTTTTAGTTCTCGGCGGACACAACATCTTTGTTTGTTTGTATGTGGTGCTGAGGATCGAACCCAGGCCGCAAGGATGCCAGGCGAGCGCGCTACCACTTGAGCCACATTCCCAGCCCTGGATCAAGTTTAAATGACCATGCTGTTCCTTTCACTCCAAAGAATCTAGAACTACTGTCAAGGAAGGCCTTACCCTGTCCATCTGCCTATCTCGGAGCTAGGGAAGAAAAAGAACTTGCATGTTGGTGAAGGAAGAAGTTGTGTGGGATGAAGATGAAATCTACAATAAAATCCAAACTTGTCCAAGATGTGCTGCTGCTTTAAATAGCTTTAAATCAGATGTTATTTTCAATAGAATGCCTTTTTTTGTTGTTCAAAATTATTGGAATGCACTTTTTTTTGGTGGGGGGGGGTATTGGGGCTTGAACGCAGGAGCACTTAACCACTGAGCCACATGTCCATCCCTTTTTACTTTTTATTTTGAGAAAAGTTCTCACTAAATTGTTTAGGCCCTCACTAAGCTGCTGAGGCTGACCTTGAACTTTCAATACTCATGCCTCAGCCTCCCAAGTCACTGGGATTACAGGCATAAACCACTGTACCCAGTGAAATGCACAATTTTTAATTAGTAAATTAAAAAATTCTGGTTTTGGTTTTGCAGTACTAGAATTGAATTCAGAATCCCACACATTTTTGGTAAGTGATCTACCATAGAGCTAAATCCTGAGATCCTCATAATGTTTTTTATTTTTTATTTTTAGATACTGGAGCTTGATCTCAGGGACTTATGAATGCTAGTCAAGTGCTCTCCACTGAGCCATATGCCAGCCCTTTTTATTTTATTTTTAAACAGGAACTCACTAAATTGCCCTGGCTGACTGGGGACTTGCCATCCTCCTGCATCAGCCCCGCAAACAGCTGAGATTACAGGTGTGGGCCACCATGCCTGGCTATCCCTTTATCCTCTTTTTTTATATATACATATATATATATATATATAGTTGTGAAGTATGCCATTGTTGAATTTCATTACCTTCTACTGTTTTGGAAAACAAACACTTTCTTGTTGAGGACCTCAACAGGCCTACCTTAGAATGTCTCAAATTCTGTTTCTCAAATATAGAGATTATAAATTAATCTCTGAAAGTCACTCTCTCTTCTTTATTGTTCTTGCTTAATCATAGTGCAGTATGTGTTTTGGGGTGGGGGATAAGACCTCTGGGAACAGGCCACAAAGCATCAGACAGTATTGTTTAGTTACCTAAAGTCTAAGGCTTTAAGTGTCAGGGATGGGGCTGGAAGATGAAGCTCAATGGTAAAGCCCTTGCCTCAGATTCAGGAAATTCAGGGATTATTCCCTAGCAATAGGATTGGGTGCATTATAAAGTGAATTTGATTTCAGTTTTGCCACAACTGCATTTTCTTGCCAAACACATTAAGTCTGAGAAAGGTTAAGAGACACTATAAAGTCTGCTCAAGTCTGAAGCTCAGCAGAATCTCAAATAAAGTCAAATTGTGACCTTTTTTTTTTTT